AGAGAGAGAGAGAGAGAGAGAGAGAGAGAGAGAGAGAGAGAGAGAGAGAGAGAGAGAGAGAGAGAGAGAGGAATCCCATGACAATTTTAACACCTGGATCCAATACTTTTGAAACTCCACCCTGGCCTTTCACTAAAGGAAGATAATAAATTCTCAGTTTAACTTGGGTTTTGCCCTCAGCTAAACAAGTACAGACTTTGATAACTGAATCATTTCCCTCCTTTGGCCTCTAAAGCCTGTCAATCCCTGATTTATGTCACTTTCTACATGGAATACCTACCCAAGGCCCTATAGGCATCTCAATCCTTTGCCAAAGGGATTGAAACTCTTGGATTCTCATGACCTCCATCTTTTTTCACTTCAGCCCCTCACATGCTGGACCTCACCAGCATACAATACTTTGGAACTAGTCCACCTTGGAAGCCTTGCATCCAAACTTTCTACCTCCTGACCACAAGCCCGCATTTACCCAAATCTCTCATTCTGCTCCTACCACCTTATAACTCTCCTGCAATCTCACATGTCCATCCTCTACTTTCTTAATGTCCATTGGCTCCTTCTTGCCTTCAGTTCTCATGAATTCACCATTTCTCACTTTGTCGAGATCTTTAAAACTCTTTTATCCCATTATCCTTCAGTTGTAGTTTTTGTTTTTAAAGAAGTATAAAATACATACAGGAAAGTACACAACTACTTAAGCTTCACAAAATAGATACATCGATAGAACCAGCACTCCTTTAAATCTCCCTTCCAACTGCTTCCCTCCCCTGCTTCACATAGCATAAATTAACTTTGCCTGTTTTTCTTCTCCATCTAAAAGGAATCATAGCACATCCAGCTTCCTTTGTTCAATGTTACTTTTGTGAGATTCATCTACATTGTTATGTGTACTTGAAGATCATTCCTTCTCATTGCTGTATAGTAGTCCCTTATATGAAGGTGCCACTATTTATTCATTCTACTGTTGGTAATGACCAGGTACTTTTTGGTTAAAAACCATGCCCACAACCTTCAACCTGAGGCCACCTGTCCTCAGCTTGATCAGGAATTGGCAGATGTTATTACTTCTGGTCTAGCCAAACCCCATATATCCCTACCCCACCATCCAATAGGTCTCTCCTCTTTAAACCAAAACACTGAGCCCTTCCTTCTAAAATGACTTGATGTCACTTGCTTCCAAAGGTAGTAAAGTCATTTAGAAGCAAGTTCTGCTGTAGCTGGAGGAGCTCGGAGCCAGGCTACCTGGGTTGCACTGCAGATCCATCATTTACTAGTTGTGTGACCTTGAGCCCCACTTTCCTTATCCCGTATAGGATAACAATAGTACTTACTTGCTCAGAGGTAGTGCTTAATATGTAAACCACTTTGAAAAGATGTGGCATATAGTGAACAAATCAGTTTTGTTTAGCTGTTAGCTATCATCACTATCATCACTGTCTTTTGGGCCCTCTTAGGAAATCTCTAACATCCCTACCAGTGGACATTCAGAGCTCTGCTTAAGGAAGAGGACACAATGCTCTACAAAGCATTCCAAAGCACTGACAGCAACACTTTCTCTTTTATAACTTCCACCCGTGTAAGCTCTGTCTTTTTGATCCCTTTCTCTTGAATGTAGTTGTCCCACAGATGTTGGAAGGCAGCAATTGTGAGCTACATCCAACCTAACCTGTCTCCTCTTTAGGCTCAACATCTCTGACCCTATAACAAGTCTTCCCATGACTTGTGTCATAGCTGTGCTATCATGAGTAGCAGAGCAGGACAAAAGACGGGTAGCACAATGGCACACTGGGAGGGCCCACTTCCGGGATGCCCTATGGTCAAAGCACTGGCCTTGCCCTACAACCCAAATGGGTGGAGAAGGAAATACTCTCTCATAGGGCACAGGGCATTCTATGCTTGATTTTCTTTCATTTCATCCTATGTGAAATTAGTCAAACAGAAAGATATTTTACACTGATAATATTTAAGATGGACAAATTAGTTTAGATAATTTTGCTTTTTTTCCCTAGCTGAATTTTTCTCTTGAAGTATAATTTAGTTTTATTTATATGTGTGCTAAGGGATTTTGGGTCTTTGGCATTTGGCTTTTAAATACCTCTAGGAGTATTTTGCTTGATTTTAATGATAAGGGGTTACTCTAGGGCACAGGCTTGTTCTGAACCTATCAGGTATTTTCCTTTTTATCACAAACAGTCTCAAACTGGAGGCCGCCCTTTTCACATTGGAAAAGCAAGATGCCTGCAGTCTGACCAATTCTGTGGGGCTTAGTTTCTCCAAAGCCAACTTAACTTTCCCAGATTTGGGTCTTAGGCTGATGTCACATTTCTTAGGCTTCAAAAAACAAACAACAACAACAACAAAACCAATGTTGCTGAGCCATTTCAAAAGTACAATAGAAACATTTAAAACAGTATTAAGGCATATTCCAGGACCAAAGCAATCAGGATAAGGAAAAGTCAAGCAACAAATTCAGAGAAGGCATTTCAATACATCTAACAGATATAAATCCATATCAAGAATATACAAAAATGTATATTAAAAATCAATAAAAACACAACTATAAAAGTGAGCAAACTAGATGATCATGGTCAATAAACTTGTATGAAGAGATATTTTAACCTCATTATAAATCAGGGAAATATAAATCAGAACCACAATGAGACACCATTTTATATCTACTTGGAAAAATTCAGAAGTCTAATAATGCCAAGCACTGCAAAAAATGTAGATCAACTGGTTCTCCTATATTGTTGATAGGAATGTGCATTGGTATAACCACTTGGCAAAATAATTGACGCTATCTTGTTAAGTTAAACATTCATATCATAAATCTGATTCATATCACCTAGAAGCGGCATTGCCCTAGGGCAGTGGTTCCGAATCTGGCTGATTCTGTCCAAGGGACAATTGTCAATGTTGGCAGACATTTTTAGCGGTCACACCTGGGGAGGGGGGCGCTACTGTCATCAAGCAGGCTTAGATGCTGCAGCCAAGGCCCAAGGCAGCCCTCCACAAAACGCTGGGTTAAAAGACGTTCCCACGCTTGGAGTTTATAGGACCGTGGAGGAGAAAGACATTAAACAACTAATTGTACCAAGATGTATTCAGCTGAAAAAGACATCCACAGTACTGGCTCAAAACTCAGAAAGCCAAGCAGGCGTTGACCAGGGGACAAGATGGGATTTTGCACGTAACATTCCCCTGCTCAAACGTATCTTCTAACCTTAGGATGAAGTCCAATTTGCCTAGTTAATACTCTAACAAGCTCTCCAACTTCATCCCCTTTTCTCCCTTCATGAACCTCCATGCCCCAGTCATAATTGGCCTACTGATCTATGTACCCAACACTAAAAGCACTTCAGCTCTGGGGTCCTCACAGGAGCCATTCTCCCTGCCTGGAGTTATTTCTCTTCTGTTTCTCTAATGGACCCAGACCCCAGAGACATCTAGGAAGTACTTGCTGCCTGTTGCAGTTCTTTGGCACTGTGGACCTAGTATGGCATGGAAAAACCTGCATAGATGGTCAAAGAATAAGATTGGCAAGAATAGAGAGATGACCTTAGAGATCTCGCACACTGCAGATAAGAAAGATGAAGTCTAGAGAAGGCAAGATCACACAATTTGTCAGTAAGAACTCCAGTCTCCTAATATCCCAGCCAGCATTCTTTCTACCATACCAGGTTCCCCACTGAAACTGAAGAAGAATCTAAACTGGCCCCATCACTCTATCATCGCTGTGCTGTTCCTTCTAAGCAATGGTCACCTCAACTGTGCTTCTCAATCCTCCTCTCACATGGCACAGACAACATGATACCACTTGCACAGCCCACAAGGTAACAGACACAGCTGTGTGAGGCCCCCAGGAGACCTTCCCAGGGCTCCAGTCGCCTCAGACATGCCTGGTGGCCCTGAAGGAATCAGTGTCTTGAAACACATATGAGCCATTTGTGGCAACTCGTTAGAAAGCTCTGCATTAAGGTTTAGATAAGATGCAGATATTTTAAATGCCCCATTTTGTTCTGTAAAATGCATAAGACATATCATCAATAAATGAAGAAACTATTTTATAGCTATACTTTCTTAAATTTATGACAGAAAAAGTACCCCCACATGAGCTCTGTCTGTATCACTGTGTGTTAGCGAATATTTAAACGGGAGTTTGAACTTAGCCTCAC